TTGAACCATATTATAACATCTATTAAAATTATATGATTTAATGGTCGCTAGTCGTAGTTGACGTATGAATAAAACTAAATATAATTCTGGACTTTATGTTACTTTTAAATTATGCTTAATTAATTTAGAAATTGCTTATTTGACATTTTTATAAGGTAACATAATGTAATTTATAAGTTTATGTTATTTTTAACTATTTTTTATTGTAATTAATTTCAAAACCATTATTTGGAAAATTTTCAATTATTATGAAAAACGGATTTTAGATTTTTTTTAGTTAATTTGACATGTCGATTAAGTTTTAGATTTAGAACTTTGAACATTTTAAACTATTTAAAAAAAAATACTCTTTGGAATTTTTTACTTTATTTGATAGTTTGATTTATATTTTGGATTTAACATGATATTTAAATTAACATTTTAAGCATATTAAATTTATAATTCAAAAAATCTACTATTAATATGATAACATTTTACATTTAAAAACATATTTAAATTAATAAACTAGATATATTATAATGAAATATGAAAAGTTTGGGTCTCAAATGGGGCTCCCCATTGGAGCCAATATGAAGCTTGTTGCAAATTGGAAACGGGTTGTTGATGAATTCAATTCAAAGTTATCGAGTTGGAAGGCAAACAACTTGTCCTTTGGTGGAAGACTCACTCTTGTCAAGTTTGTACTTAGTAGTCTCCCTCTTTTTTATTTCTCGTTATTTAGAGCTCCGGTGAAGGTCATTGACAAGTTGGAGAGCATTCGGATGGGGTTTCTTTGGGGCGGTAAAGACAACATTAGAAAGATTCATTGGGTTGCTTGGAGTACCTTAGTCTGCCCTAAATGTAAAGGCGGACTTGGCATTGGTTGCCTTAAAATGATGAATTTTGCTCGTCTTACTAAATGGTTATGGCGTTTAAAATGTGAATCTAATAGTCTTTGGACTTTGTGTATTACCTCTATGCATCGCTTATCTGGAATTGATGGAAAACCAATGGCAAAAACATGGGCTTTCGGGTATTTGGTTATCAATTGTTAAAACCAGTTTGGAGTTAGATGATTGGAGCATTTCCATAAATAACTTTTTGAAAGAAAACGTGGGGATGGAAATAAAACTCACTTTTGGAAGGATGTGTGGTTCAATAATATGGTGCTCAAAGATGTTTTCCCAAAGGTGTATTTGATTGAGTCTCATAAAAATTGCAAAATTAATGATATAATTATTGCCTCCTGCTCTACTGGAACTTGGTGCTGGAAGAGGGAACCACGAAATGGTGAGGAATTAAGACAGTTAATTGTCCTAAATAGTTTGGTGGCTAGTGTACAATTTTCAAAAGTTTTTGACTCATGGATATGGAAGTTAGACAAAAACAGTGATTTCAATCTGAGATTGAAGCGTGCCTTAATGGATAGCAAGATAACAGGTGATGATTGGTTGAAATTTTATTGGATTTCATGGGTCCCCATACAGGCCAATTGCTTCGTGTGGCACATGTTACTAAACATAATTCCAGTTGCCATGAACCTCATACTGAGAGGGGTAAATTTGTCATCTTCTTCTTGCCCTTTCTGTTTGAATATAAATGAAGACACATGTCATTTTTTTTCAATTGTTATTTCTCCCCAGAAGTCTGGAATTGGTTCTACAATTGGTTGGGTTTCTAACCATCTCCACCTATATATGTGTCTTATATGTTATTGAAGTTATCCTCCAATGGGCTTTGCATGAATCACAAAAAGATAAAACTGGGGCCGATATATCCTACAATTTGGATAATTTGGAAGACATGGAATGCCCTTATTTTCAAGAAGAAAAGATACCCTCCTATGAGAACGGCAGATGAAATTCAACTTATATCCTTTAATTGATTCAATCATCGTGCCAATCTTAGTAGTCTCAATTGGAATGTATGGTGTTGTTCTCCTATTAACGTTGTCAATGATTGTAATAATATTTTGTAATTTGCTCTAGTATCTTGTTAGTTGCATTGCTTTTTCTTTAATAATATCTGTTGTTCTAAAAAAACTGATATAAATAGATAAATGTAAATAAAAGATGAAAAAATATTAATTTTTTCTAAAATTTTATATTTTTATTTATTCAACTAATCCACTCCATTTTCATTAGAAGTCCCAATCTCCTAGAGTTTGGGTCTTAGTCTCGCATTATCATTGTCTGTATGCATGTATATATATTGTGATATATGTTATTTTTGGTAACTCATTTAGCTTCGTGCTTAACCAGTTGATTACAAATGATTTTAGGTACTTTTTCAAATCAGGAGCAGGGCAAGGCTTGACTATACACGCGTTTCAACGTCACGTTTTAGTTTTCCGCATAATCTAATTATACACGGATTTAAATAGTTAATACTATGTTTTGACAATGATTGAATAAAAGAGATTCTTATACTTTACAATGTTAGGGAAATGAGTTTTTATATTACTATTGGGAACGGGTATTATCAGTATACTATACTTCAAAATTTTAAAATTTGTTATGGAATTTGGACGTTTTTGTTCATAAAACTTAGAAACTAAATATTTCACCCCATGTTTGATAATGGTGGGCTCTCGAACCCATTTTCCTTCAAATTGTCAAACAGTTAATTATGGATCCCTTTTTGTTATTGAGGATTTCATGAAAAAGACTCATGTTTTTATTTCCTTCTACTGCCCATTTGATCCTAGCCTTTTGTCCTAGATTAATTCATCTGGTTGTTTCTATCTCAATACGTATTTGTTTTCATACACGCCAATAGGCCAATTCTTAAGATATGAGGGTTTTACTTTATCAAGTGCCTATTTAACTTCCCTGAGTTTTTGCAGCAAGAATGAAATCGACTTTCCCTAGGAGACACCCTGTTATCAAGTTTTTTAGGAAGGAACGGAAAGGAGAGGAAGGGGAAGGAAAAGAAAGGTTAGTAACCTTTCCCTCCCCTTCCCTTCCTTCCCTTCCTTTCCCTTCCCTTCCCATCCCCGTCTCTTTCCTTTCTCTTCCTTTTCCTCTCAATCATCACAAAAGTGTGAGGAAAGAAATCTTAAAAAATAAGTCTTTTCTTCCCCTCCCAATCCCTCCATTTTCTTCCTTTTCCATTCTTAAATGAAACTCGAGAACACCAATCATTTCCATTCCTTCTTTTCACTTCTTAAAAACTCAATTACACTTCTTTCCTCTCATTTTCCTCTCGTCCCCTCCTTAAAAAAAACTCGAAAACACACATTTCTTTTCATTTTCTCCCCTTTCCTTGTTTAAAAAATCTCGAGAACGGGGTGTTAATGATAACCATGAGTTTTTGACCACCGTAACAAAAGTATCATTGGAAAGTTAGGAATTATAAATCTAAAGGGTGGAGGATCGAAGTCAGCAACAAAACTTTTAAAGATGCTCAGAAAATGATCAAAATATTCTCTTTGGAGAGCAATACCTGAAGCAAGAGGCCATACGTCAATAAATTATCACACACAAGAATCTCATATAATTTACCGAGTTTTGCACCATCCCCATAAATACAAGTGATTTCCCACCACCTAAATTAGGCCCCTCAGTGCACATGATACTGCACACCGCGGTGTGTGACGTGGCACTGCGGCGTGCGGGAAACACCGCACTGACTCACTTTGTTCCACTACGGTAAGCCTGTCGCGCATTATGGTTTCACCGTGCGGTATAACCCTCAAAGGTGGTATTTTGTGTATAAAAATGTGTACTGTAGTTGATGTGGTAATGTGTGGTATGACACCCACCTGTTTTGTAGGTGAGAAAAAAAATGAAATGGCAATGCGAAAATATGGTATGTGTGGTATGACAACCACCGGCCTATTCTCTCAACAAGCAACTCTAATAAAATTGTTGAACGTCCCATAACCTCTTTCAAACAATTGTGAATCCATCCTCTCTTCGAGACATCTAATCTCATTGAAGTCTCCAAGGAACATCCACACTCCATGTGTCGAGTTTTTGAGTTCTAATAGATCTTCCCAAAGTTTCAGTTTTGAAGAAATGGTTGAGGACCAATATACATTTACGAAACATACAGTCGAACCCACGTTTACCCATTTAACTATAACCGCTAGAAAATTCCTGTCTTTGTCAACATTGATTTTTTGAAAGCAAAGCAAACCCCAAAGTGAGATTATCCTCCGAGATCTACTTGATTCATCTACAATTTCTTGTTCATAATCATTACCACCGCATAAGTTGTTTAACGATTCTCAGAATTTTTGAATTGAGATTCTTATAATGCTATTAATTAAATGTTATACTTCTGTTTTTATTCCACTACTCCACTGTCCACTCCACTTTGATTGGAATTCCCAATCTCCTAGGGTTTAGGCCTTAGTCTCGCGTTACTATAATGAAATTAAAAATAAAACCAGATTCCATAACTCAACCATTAAACTAAAAAAACTCAACCATTAAACTAAAAAAGATATTAATAAGGTCCACTTTTTGTAATCTTGACTGGTATGCTAGGTATATGTCTTCTATTTCGTACTTTTCTTGTAATTTACTTGTGTTTCTCGCTTAACTTCTTTTCTTTATTTTTTTTGTGCACTCTTATTTTTTGTGCTAATATATTGGCTCGACGTTAAAAGAAAAAAATCTATATAGGATAATCTTTCGAAAATGTATCAAGTACTTTCCTTTGCAAGAAAAACATGAGTACGATTGGAAAAGTTAAATTTTAGATTAAAGGTAAATACCAAACAGCCAAACAAGCAATGTCACATGACAAGTATAAACGTGTCGATTTGAGTAACCCTTCATAGGTGAAAACAGTGGGACCCACATTCCACCGCCATTAAAGCCACCTTCAGAAACTTTACACCACCTTCACCCTTCCCCTGACCAGTACCCTCCCTGCACCGACGAAAAAAACTCTTTTTCCTCACCGGTCTTCTCAAACTTCTTGATAACTTCAACGAATTTGTTTCAGACTACAGTTTACCTTTTTCAGAATTGAGTTAAAAAAAGTGTAAGTCGACTGATTTCGTATTCAAAATGAAGTCCCCAGAGATTTATCAGTCACAATTTCCATCTCCGATGACGAGAAACTACGGTGGTGGACGACGGACATCGTTGTCAATCGCTTCCGACGCTTTTCTCTTCTTCTCCGGCGCTGTCGCCTCTCTGTTACTCGTCTGGACTTTCTCTACTTTCTCAAATCATCAACCCACTACAAATTTTGAAACACAAACTCTCGAACCCAAATCTTCCGTCTCCGTCGTCGATAATGTCGATTGCGAAAGAACCAGTAATGGATTAAACCTCCATTACGACCCACCGGACCAGAATTTCTACGACGACCCATCTTTAAGCTACACCATCGACAAACCCATAAAAAATTGGGACGAAAAGAGACGAGAATGGTTGAAACTACACCCGTCATTCGGACCAAACTCCGACGAACGTGTCCTCGTCGTCTCCGGCTCACAATCCCAGCCGTGTAGCAACCCGATCGGCGATCATTTACTATTACGATTCTTCAAGAACAAAGTAGACTACTGTCGGATCCACGGCTACGACATCTTCTACAACAACGTCCTCCTCCACCCCCAAATGCACACATTCTGGGCCAAAATTCCGGCGGTTCGCGCCGCCATGTTAGCCCACCCGGAATCCGAGTGGATATGGTGGGTCGACTCAGACGCGGCGTTCACCGACATGGACTTTAAGTTACCCTTACACCGTTACAAAGACCACAACTTCGTCGTCCACGGCTGGCCGGAGCTGATCTACCGGAAGAAAAGCTGGACGAGTTTAAACGCCGGAGTTTTCCTGATCCGAAACAGTCAATGGGCTCTTGATTTCATGGATGTGTGGTCGGGTATGGGTCCTCAGACTCCGGATTACGAAAAATGGGGCGAAATCTTGAGAGAAACTTGTAAAGACAAATCGTTTCCAGAATCCGACGATCAAACGGGTTTGGTTTATTTATTATTAAAAGAAAAAGAAAAATGGGGGGATAAAATATACGTTGAAGGGGAATACTACTTCGAGGGGTATTGGTTGGAAATAGTTGAAACTTTGGAGAACATAACGGCGAAATATAACGGCGTTGAGAGAGGGGCGCGTAGGTTAAGAAGACGACACGCTGAAAAGGTGAGTGAGGGCTATTCTGCGCTGTGGGAGACGTATCTGAAAGACGCCGGGTATGGGAAGTTCAGTTGGCGGCGGCCGTTTATTACTCATTTTACGGGCTGTCAGCCGTGTAGCGGGCAGCATAATCAAATGTATTCCGGGCAGAGTTGTTGGGACGCTATGCAGAAGGTTTTGAATTTTGCTGATAATCAGGTTTTGCGTAATTATGGTTTTGTACATCGCGATTTACTGGATTCTGCCTCTGTGTCATCTCTACCGTTCGATTACCCTGCATGATTATCAAAGCATTGTAACTTTGTAAGGAGATATTGGTATTGATGTGTACCTTTAAGTAGTTTGATATATATATTTTTTATATATATAATTGAATAATAATGATGTGAATATTGCTTTACACTGTGCAGATTGATGAGTGGAAGCTTTAATCCAGTGAAGAAAAGTAAAAGGAGAGGATATTCGGTTTATAACTAGTGCTAATGTTATTTATGCATTTCTATATATATTTCTTTATATATAAATATATATAGGAGTGGTGTTTGTATTATTAATTTTTGTACATTTTCAGTGAATTTAATGTTATGAGTTCTGAATTTGTTTTTGATAACTGCTCGGATTGGGTAAAGAAAAAAAAGTTTGATTGCTTAAATGTAACAAAGATAAACCGTATAAAAACATAACTATTTATCCACAGGTAAAACATAACTATTTATTTTAATAAAAACTTTTATATTTGATTTATATATAGATAAATCTTTACATTTTTAAGGTAAACCGTATCAAAACATAACTTTATCTACCATCCTTCACAAAAACCTTTATATTTTGTTTATATGTAGATAAATTTTACACTTGTAGTTATCTTTAAGTTACCTTTCATACTAACGTAATTATTTAGTTTTCTAAAAATATTATGGGTTGTTTTATGACATGAGATTTATTATTTTTATTTTTAGGTTAAAATGGGGAAAAAATAAGTATCCTTTTGCTTAAGGTAAAATATGATAAATAAATTACTTACTCAACGATCAGTTCAAGCAAAAATAAGTGGCTTTGATTATTTTTTTTCATTGTCAACCTAAATTAACAAAATAAATTAAATAAATTTTATCATGTCATAAACATTCTATAACTTTTTTAAAAAGAACGGATATTTTGGTATATCTAAAGATAACTGAAATTATAAAGTTTTTTAATATATAAATAAACTATAAGAATTTTTATGAATGTTTGTAGAAAGTAATTAATCAAACTTTGCTGTTTGAATGATTTTATTTAAAAAAAGTAACAAAATAAATTTTTATGAATGTTTTTATTTTCTTAATTAATTATTCTACTTTTTAGGTTATAAAAAGTAATTAATGTTTCATTAATTTGTTTCCTTATATTTTCAAATTTTAATATGTTTCCTTCGATACATATAATTTAAAATTGACATGTTTTTTTCAAAAGTTTATTGTCATTTTAGTCAAAATGTTTTATATAGGAAAAATAATCAAACTTTGTTGCTTTTTATTGACAAACTAAAAAAAAGTTATGTGGCTAAAATATAATTATTTTTCTGTAGTTTGTTTATTAGTATAAATTGAATTATTTATTTATTCATATTTTGTCTGTATATATTTTGAAATTTTATTTTAAAAAATACTTAATGTTTACATTTTATATTTAATGTTTTCTTTAAAAAGAATACTTAATGTTTATAAATTATACTAGTTTGTTATATAAATAGGTCTCGTATCTAGTATAAATTAAAACAAGTAAATAACAAACTATCAATTAATAACAAAGTTTAACATGTTAATATTGATTTGATATCTTCGTTCGAAACAAAACACTACCAACACGAAGTCAACATCACTATGCTTAGGTACATTTAAATTTTATCGTGATCAATGTTTTTCTTTCTATTTTTATTGTATAATTAAGCATATTTATATACAAGACAAGTAGGATTAATGTGTAGTTTAGGAGTAAGTTAGATTTGTCGTTAAAAAAAGATTTAAACATCCACGTCACTACCTATATAACATTGCTTCTGGCAATAATAAATCTCTGTTCGGTATGTTAGAATGTTAGATTTTGTACAAGATTTACTATCACTATATTTTATGTATTTTACATTTTTAAATTCATTGGGGACATGATATGTGCATATGAGTATGGGAAGATTCACCAAATTTCGAACATTCTCTTTTTTTAGATCTATGAACAGTATATTCTTCATTAATTTAAACTAACTTTTGTAAGACTAACTTTTGTAAGACGAATAAAATAATTTGAAGTTTGGAACCTACTTTTTTTTTCTTAGATCGTAATTTTAAAAGCTATATTCAATACTTATAGCTTAAGTTTAAAATCATAAGAGAAAGTCAATCTTTAATGTAGCTTTTATTTGAGGGTGCACGGAGTACACGAATGATAGCTCCTTGGTTGGCAGTCCCCTTACGAAAGTTTTGTTATTGAGTTCGACATACATTTCACATGTTTCTAGCGATTCACATGGTATGATACTATGGTAGCGGGTTACCGCCATTCTATTAGGCGAATAGTGGCCATTGGAGAGGGTTGAGGCTGGTGGTGATCATTTCCAAACCACACTCCTTTTATTTTTCGCATGCTTCGTTACTTATATATATTATGATTTTAATTATTGTTTTATTATTTTAATTATCGTTTTAAAATTTCGATTGGGGTGTAAAGTCAAAACAACTCGTGAAATACTTGATATAGACTCGAAAAATACATGAAATTAGCTTAGTTCAGTTCGAGTCGAGTCTGAGCTACTCAAGTATGTTATCGAGCCGAGCTTGAGTACTGGAAGACTAAGCTCGTGAAACTCGTGAGCTTAATCGATTATTGATATATTTACATTTTTACCCTTTGTTTTATTTATATTTACATATTATAGAGTTGAGCCGAGTAAAGCACACGAGCTTAGTCATATTTATATTGTAATTTAATGTAATTTAATATTCCTAATAGATAATCAAGTCGAGTCGAGATCGAAAGTTTTAGTTACTTTGTCGAGCTCGAGCTCGAGCTTGAGTTGAGTTTTTAATCAAGTCAAGTTTTTAGTTTGACAGTGTTCGACTCGACTTGGCTCGATTACATTTTCAATTATTGTTTTACCATTTTAATTATCGTTTTAATAAAAAAAAATTAATATTTAAAAAAAATGTATGGTTTAAGAGGGTTCGGAAAGATTGATTCTATGGAAGTGAGAGAAAAGATAAATGTTGATGTGGTGCAAAGGTGGAAAGAGGGTTGAGAAAGATCCACTCCTCCCACCCTAATAATCGATATTGGTATGAAAGTTAATTTATGGGGTGAGGAAACGTCACCGAACTTCATAACAAAACGGATTACATATAGAAGAAGTTAAAAAAACTCAAAAAAATAAGTGAAAATTCACAGATTGATAGTAACTGGATAATCATCTATTGATTAAAAGAGTGGCAACAACTTTCTTCGTCTCCAACATCCTAAGTTGCATTAGAGAATAAGACCTTTGGAAATATATTCGAAGATTGTGGTCACATCGTGGATTTATACCTGGAAAAGAAAAATGACAAATTTGGTTCACATATTGCCTTTGTAAGATACATTAAGGTGAAGAATGTGGAGGAATTCACAAAAAGTTATGTGGAACGAAAATCATCAATATGGTTGTGATTGATAATCTTTTGAGGTTTGAAGGGAACAAGAAACCTATGAAGTAGAATATGTAACCGTCGACAAAGAAACCCATGGTGCATCCTATGTTTCCATCAAAGAAAAAAAAGCATCAAGCTTGGGCCCCAAAGTTTAATCAACATCAACAACAAAGATCTTATGATGATATGCTAAGTGATAGTCTCCCAAATAATATAAAGAATAAACCTATGAGGTTAGAGCTATTGTCTATATCATAAAAAAGCTAATTATTTGAAAGGATGCATAATAAGAGAAGTTAAAGAATTAGCATGTAGGAAAGAGTTGTTGGAAGATAGTTCCCATAGTCATAACAGTAATATTATTATAAAAAATAACGTCATTTTGGGTTACATATAATGATATATATTAGCAAAATATGATTCGAGAGTTTTATCATGGTCTAGTTTATTAATTAATAAAAGGGTTAGAATAATTAATTAGAAACTTGTAGACTTAAGGGATTTAATTGTAAAGATTTGAAAGCCAGATCTTTAGGATAATTACCAAACTTACGGATAATTACTTAGTGACCAAGTAATTATCTCATAATGGTTCAAAACCTTCCCCTATGAATAGGAGAGCCCAAAGAACAAATATAAGTGAGTTTCAAACCCTAATTTCAGTTATCATGTCCTTCTTCTCAAATCCTCTCGGATTCTCTGTCGTCGTGACACAACAACCCTTATGTAGTGACGTGAACATGATGAAGTCAAAAACTATTCCGGTGTTCAAGGTGTTCGCTGGATCTGGATGTGTCTAGGTTATTGATCTATTCCGTGGGTGCAACTATGAAAGAGGAGTTTCACGTTAGACTCTTAACACACACTCTCTCTCAAAATTCCGATTGAAACTTCTATTTCTTCTAAATTTCCATTGTAACTGTCACACCCCCAAACCAAGGATGGCGGAAAAGTCCGGGGGTGGAGGACTTCATGTAAAGTATCACAACAAAGAGTATAATAGTGCTCAAAGTAAATACAACCATCATAAATATAATTGAAAAAGTTACACCATAATATATGTTTACATTTTTCAAAATCAATTACATTATGATGACAAAATGAACTGTTTGACGACTTAACGTCCCATCCTCAAAGTGCTGATGTTTTCCTGTTTCACTGATTTCCTGAGAATACAAGTAGTTTTGAAAAAGTGTCAACAATTAAGTTGGTGAGTTCATAAGAGTTTTGTTTGAGAAAGAAACTGTTTTCCTTGTAAAAGCGACAGAGTATGTTTCCAGAAAAATCCAATATTTTCCTTATTAAGTGTGAAATGAATGCTCCTATGTTATGCGATAATGTACCCTAGAAGGACCCATAGATTCCTTCTATAGTCGCCCAGCGTATATAAGTTATATAAAATTTAAGTTAAATAAACCGTTGAATATAATGGGTCTGCCCTAGGTCCACAACCAAACAAGGAACAGGAGATAAGGCAGGCCCACCAATTCTAAGTCGATTGTGACTAGATTCTTATATAACTCTAGCATATACACTTAGCAATTATAGCTGAAGTCTAACAATTCTAGACGAAATGTAGTTTTAATAGAATATGTTTCCAAAGAAAATCCAATATTTTCCTTATAAAAGTGATGTGTTGTCTTAAATCCCAAGACCGAAAGTGTACAATACTTTATAAAAGTGATGTGTTGTCTTAAATCCCAAGACCGAAAGTGTACAGTACTTTATAAAAGTGATGTGTTGTCTTAAATCCCAAGACCGAAAGTGTACAGTACTTTATAAAAGTGATGTGTTGTCTTAAATCCCAAGACCGAAAGTGTACAGTACTTTATAAAAGTGATGTGTTGTCTTAAATCCCAAGACCGAAAGTGTACAGTACTATCCATACTATTGATATAAAAAGTGATTTTAAATCGACATAAAACCCTTTTTGATTT